CAAAAAATTCCAAGTTATTAGTTTTTAAAAGTACAAATAACCTGAATATTCTTTTTAAACCTCTTAAGATTTTTATAATGAAAATTGTGCATTAACTTTTGTAATTATATACTGTAAAAAATATAAGATTATTATTTTCTGAATAAACTGAAAAACCATCAATAAAACTGTTATGATTAAAGATGAAATTTTAAAATCTTAGTAAAATCCATGTGTGATAAATTGTTCCTGTAGTCCTATATGCTACATAAATACAACTATAACTCTTATTGGTTGGTTGGAATTTTTATTGTTCATGTTTCAATTTTGATTATAAGAAATTGGAAATTGGTTGTTAGTTCATTTAGTAATATTTCAAAATGAACTCTAGTTCAACACACAAAAAAAAAAATGAAAAAATTGTTAAAAGTGGAGTCAGAATTATAATATTAAACGTAATAACTTCCTGAATAGAAGATGCCATTTTCCGTAAAAAAAAAAAGTGGAATCTTCTAAATAATATAGTGCCAAAATACAACTTAAAGAACTAGAAGGGTCAAGTTGAATGCAGGCTAATGGAAATCTGTATAAATCTAAAAGAAAGAATTATTCTTATTACTTGTTTTTGTGTAATATGAAGTTTATCAAATACTATCAAATTAATAAAATCATTTATTGTGTAATAAATCAATTGAACATAACTAATACAAGCATATTTAAGCAATGTAGCCAGCAGAGAGAGACAATAAGGCACACATCATATATCCCCACTTCTATATTTTGTAACAGAATAACTGCTGACTTCTTATAAACATTTTTGAATAAACTCATTATTCATTGTGATTATCATTTTTTCTGTATGTGATTTTATTAGATGACAGAATTGTATTGCAAGGTAAAAGGGGTTTCTATCTGTGAATATGTTTAAAATTGTTAAATTTAAGTACTACTAGGAGGCTAGATTTTATCACTGAAATAAAATAATTTAAATAAGGTGATTTCCTACTCAGTATTATAACTAACTTGCTTAAAAAATTTACAATAATGATAAAAAAAATCATTCAATAGATAATCAAAAAATTAAATAAAATACTTTCTTACTGGAACCACACAATAAATAAAAATCAACACCTTTAAACAATCCAGCAAATCGTTTTTTAAAGGAATTGTAACATTCATTGAAATGCCTCAATAAAGAAACATTTAGACCTCCTCAAAATAGACAAAATCATTGCTCTATGATTCAGTAAAATTACTGCGCTCTCCCACCATGACCAGGTGGTGACCACAGGAGAGTTATTATTATTATTATTATGTGTTGGGTTTAGTGGGTTATACTCGGTACACACCGGTGGCTGTGTACTATGCCGGACCAGAGTCAAGGCATAGCAACCAAAACAAAACTAAAATTAAATGTGTGTGTCAGTGTCTGTATTAAGGAATTTCCTAACAATATGGCATGTATNAGAGTTATTATTATTATTATTATTATTATTATTATTATTATTATTATTATTATAGAATGTAATCTTCCAATTAAAATGATTCCTCACTTCTAGTATTGGAAAAATTTCAATAAAATTGAGCACATTAAAATATTAAAACAATTGGAAATTTTTGAATAGTGAAATACTTCTTTAAAACTAATGCACTTTTCAAAGGTTCCCATGTAGTTTTAAAAAAAAATTTTTAACTACTTTTGCTGATATCATAGTGAGTTTTAACACTGTGCATTAATGTTCAATAAATTTATTAGTGATGGGACAATTAATCAGAATCTACAATTAGAAAAATTGGACATTTTCAGTGTGCCAGAACCAGAATATATAAAATCTCGTCATAATTTCAAAATCTTACAAACAATTCTTCCACATTTTATAAGAAAATTAATTAAATAAAGAATCTTNAAGTCACCCTATCTCCCCTAAAATGGGGACAGTTAGTATCGACTGAGTGCAGTTTCTCATTGCTTTGACTACATGAAGGAAAAGTCTGCTGTAATATTAATTTATTGGAAACTTTCACATCGACAAAGCAGAGAATATGTGACATCCCATGCGCATAGTGACGCAAACATCACTATGCGCATGGGATGTCACATATTCTCTGCTTTGTCGATGTGAAAGTTTCCAATAAATTAATATTACAGCAGACTTTTCCTTCATGTAGTCAAAGCAATGAGAAACTGCACTCAGTCGATACTAACTGTCCCCATTTTAGGGGAGATAGGGTGACTTTAAGATTGCCATCTGGCTTGATCAGCAATCTGTATTCTGTACGCATATTCTGTCTGTATATCTATATAAATATTAAAAGCAAAATGTTCCATCACCAGCACACACAAATAATGTAAATTTAAAAATTAATTTGATTTACAATTTGAAAATTTCAAAGCAACTTTTAAACAGTTTTTGAAAATGTTGTTTTAATTTTTAATTGTTTTGTTTTTATTTTTAATTGATTTGATTTTAATTTCAATTAATTTGATTTTATTTTTAGTTCTGGTGTAAAGACTGTAAAGACCAGTGTTTTAATTATTATTTTTTATAATTTTTATTTATTTAATTTTATCTGCATTTTTGAATCCTTTATTACAATTTTTTTAATTAATTGCAACTCTTTTTTTTTCTTTTGCAATACATCTATAGAAATTATTTCAGTGTTGTTTTGCACAAAAGATGATCAAATTTTACTTTTTTAGTAATTACATTAATTTTTGTTTTGTAAATTTGCCTGCTCTTTAAAAATTTTAATCATAAGCAAGTTAACATTGATTGAACTATCAGGCTACTTGGTTTCAAATCGAGGCTACAAAAATCAACAAAAAAATATTTAAGTGTCAGCAAAACAGTTTAAAATATAAACAAAATTATATTTTAATTGGAAAATATAATATAAAGTTATTTTTAATATTTAATAAATTTAATTATTTCATTAATTTTTGTTTAATAAATTTTCCAGTTTTTAAAAAATTTTAATTATAAGCGAGTTAACATTGATTGAACTATCAGGCTATCTAGTTTCAAATCAAGGCCAGCAGTTGGCAGAACAGTTTAAAATATAAGAAAAATTGTATTTTAATTGAAAAAAATTTATATAAAATTATTTTTAATATTTATTATGTTTATTTCTTATGATAAAATGACTTTCTCATTATAATTGTGAAAGTTTTTGTTATGATTCATATATAATGCTATAATGCGTTTAATTTTTAAATGTAATTTNAGAAATTATTTCAGTGTTGTTTTGCACAAAAGATGATCAAATTTTACTTTTTTAGTAATTACATTAATTTTTGTTTTGTAAATTTGCCTGCTCTTTAAAAATTTTAATCATAAGCAAGTTAACATTGACTGAACTATTGGGCTTTCTAGTTTCAAATCAAGGCCAGCAGTTGGCAAAACTAAGTGTCAGCAAAACAGTTTAAAATGTAAAGAAAATTATATTCTAATTAAAAATTTTATATAAAATTATTTTTAATATTTCTTATGATAAAATGACTTTCTCATTATAATTGTGAAAGTTTTTGTTATGATTCATATATAATGCTATAATGCGTTTAATTTTTAAATGTAATTTATGTGATTCTGAGTAAAAATATATGTTTGCACTAAGTTTAATGCCATTTTGAGTTTTAAAAATTGATTTTTTTAAGATGAGTCAGTCTAGATATCATGGCTTGAATGAATGAACTCAAAAATTGGTTAACTCATGACGATATTTGTTTGGCTCATTGCATCATTACCAAACCTCATTTAGTTTTAAATATGATGGAGTAAAATCATTTACAAAACATGCCCATTGCAAGAAGCACAAAAAAGTGCATCTTTTCGTTTACCTTCTCCTCCACTTAGTCATTGCATTGGTCAATGAAGCAATTTCCAAAGATGGCAATCCTACATGACATGATGGGATAGTTCATTGAGTAAAAGGGAATTACTTGTAATTTCTTTGGGGATAGTGTTGCAATATTAACTTTATCTGAAATAAGATTACAAATTTATTTTGTAGTACACAATAAAAGCATGTGTATCCACATATAAATGGACAATTTTCACAGTTCCTTCAAAAGATTGATTTTTGGATTTCCAATCATTTTCAATTCTTAAGCTTGATGTTTATTAATTAATGAATGTACTGTGCTTGTAATGTAAATTGTTAATTTTTCTAAACTGAATTAAACTTTAGAAAGTATTCAAAAGAATTGGAATCAAGAATGGTATCAGAACTGGGAGAAATTTGGTATCATCCCACACTAATCATAAGGAGCACAGTTGCAAAATTTGAATAAAATTAGTCAGGCTATTTGATTCTTAGAGTAATTTTACTTCCTTCAACTGTCCTTTCCTTTGGTTTTCTTACAAGTGAAGAAACAATATGAAGAAGAATAGGAAAAGAAAGAGAATTGAGAATAAGACCCATTTCAGCATTTTCAAATGGCCATATTTTTAATATCCTTTGGCAAAATATTGACTATTATAAGATATTAAAAAATATTTTTCAAAACTATGTATATTATGTGAGATATGAAAAAGGCTTAGAATTTATATATCCTAATTCCAATAATATGATCTGACAATAATGATTAAACTGGCATCATCCTTGAACTTTTGATATTTTTGTGAATAGTAAGATGTTAAAAAATTTAAATACTGTATTAAAGTAATTATATTTGTTCAATAGACAAAACTGATCTTGGAACATTTTCCTTAATAAAATGCATTTGGTCTTAATTTGGTCTAAATTTATTTTGAAAGACATAAAAAGAAAGAACTATATCAAATGAATAATACAGGTTTATTCTTAATATATTAATAACAGTTAATATTGTCTTACAATTTTAGAAAATATACTGAAAACTATAGTTACTCTAATAAAATAAATTTTCTGAAATGCTTCCAAATAAGAAAATAATCATTTTAGAATGATACACTTTTTTATAAGGCACTGTGTATTGAAAATAAAACAATTCTCTTCATTTTTTGACAAAAAATTATTTAAGCAAAATAATAATTACTTACCATGTGACTGTGGTTGATGTGTTAATTGAGATGACTGTTTATCTAACTGATAATTACTTGGACCAGGTAATGAAGATATTCCTGAGTTATCTACATAGAGTGGCATTGAATTACTGCTATCTTTGTTTGATATACTGGCTGCAGGAGATATTGATGGTTCTTCAAATGTCAACATGGAAACTGGTTTCACATCTAGATAAAATTTAAAATAGTATCTAAGAATATTTTTTTTTTTATATCACCATTTGTTTATATAGAAGCTTTAACCATTTAATAAAAGAAGGAATTCTGACTGTAAATTATCATATGTTTTACAAGATGGTTTGGATTTTTATCCAAAGATCAGCATCTTGGCTATGAAAATATTAATACAAAGAAATTTCTTAAACATGTTACAATTTACTATGTTATGCTTGTTCATATACCCAAGGAGCTATAATACTGTGTGGCATACTATTATTTCTTCCTTTAAACAGAATTCAGGAATCAGAGAGCAAGTCAGAAGGACAACTCTGATAAAGCATATTTATCACTAACCAAACCAGCATAAATACTCACTTTTTTTCTATAAAAAAGCAATGAACAAAACTGGTGAAAGTTACAATGACATCTACATCAAAAAGGACATTACTCAATTAGATGTTAAATGAAGAGCAATAAGGCAGCTACATGTAAACTACAGCTTCTAATTTCAAAAACAATGTAATTTCAATTTTTCTTCAGCCATATTATTAGGTATTCTATTGCTGAGGAATAAAATATAATAAAATTTATTGTACATTACTTTTGCATAACAATCATGCAAATTGTAAAAAAAATTTGCAGTAAAATTACTTCAGATGATCTAAAGCTAAGCAGGAATGTTATAGAAATGACATTCTGTATTACATCATAATTACAATATAGTTATTAATATTTTCTGGACCTGAAAATTATTGCACACTAGCATACACTAAACATAAAACAATTTATGAGTGAATTAATAATTATTACTTTAATAAGCATACCTTGTATATCTTGTGAAAGACAGTTAGATGTAGATGCTTCAGATGGTGTGGAACATGATGCTAAAATCTGACTTTCATTTGAAGATGGGCCTATGTGAACTGAATGACTGTCTGTTAATCCACAAGTTGGGATAGTTATTTGTGAAGATATTGGAGTTCTGTTAGAACTTTGTGAATGATTTTCTCTAAAAACTGGCATCTAAAATAAATATGTTTATTAAATTTTTTAAATATGTTGCAATAAGTAAAAGCAAGAAAAAATTTTAATAAATTTTAAAATATTATATATTGAAATTTGTTCTGAATTTATACAAATAAACAAATAGAATCTTTCTAAATGCTTTATGTCAGTGTTTCTCAACCTTTCATGACCTTTGCTCCCTTTTGAGCATAATATTTTTGTGTTATTGTCCCTACATAATAGTATCTTAAAATTAAAAAATACATATTAAAAATTCCACCACTTATTTAAATTTTACAAAATAATTTTATTTAAAATAATTATAAACTATTTCTTATGAACTACATATATACATAGTTATACAGTACATTCATTTTTAAAAACAAAACATGTAATAAATTGACTTTTACTTTATTTAGCGTGATCTTTGTGGCTGGTGCAATTTTTTTAATGTCTAGTTGCAATGTTATCAGTTTTAAATGAAGATAACTTCTATTAACAAAATCAAGACAGTTACAAGATTTTTTGAGAGCATATAAATAACCCAGCTAAATGCAGATTTGACAAGATGTGGGAATAGCAATAAATTACAAATTTCCACATCTTCAAAAGCTGTGGAAATTTATTTGCCATTTCACTATTTATCCAGAAATTTTCTTCATTTTGTTTATGTCTAACTTGGGCTTCACAGTATATGCATTTTATACATGCAACAGGCTTATATTTTAATAGTAAACATCCTTTGAAAAAAAAATGCAAATGACATGCTTTGTTACATGTACAAAATTCTATGTCTTTATTTACAAGAAACAAATGTATGTATACTGTCTGATAACAAAACATTTTAGGTTCAAAATTTCATTATCAAATTTGCTTTTGTATTTTATTTAAACATAATATTTTAATAATTTGCATGCATCTATTAATTTACTTATTGAAGTTTAATTGTTTTCATATAATTTCAATATTTTATTCTGATTGTGACTCCCCTAGTTTTCCCTGGCTCCCCAAAAGTTGATTTTTGGTCTGTAGCCCCAAGGGGACCCCAGGCTCCCATTTGAAGAACACTGCTTTATGTTATTGAAAAAAATATAACATTATGGATGATATAAATATCAACTTTGCTTGGCAAGAATTAACTGATAAATGCACAAGCAAAGTGTGGAAGAAGTTATGGCTGAAGGTATCCAAGAATTCTCAACAAGAAGAGCCTATCGCTGTTTGGTTAGGTTGACTGAATGCAGCCTAATCAATATACAGGACTAGGAGATATAGACAAGCAGGATATTGAGGAGTTACATTTCTAGTGAGAGCCTTACCAACAATGACTTTCAAGAACTGGCAGAACATGGAATTCATGTGGAACTGGAAAATAGAGATTCTGAAAACAAAGAACCCAAAAAATCTCTCTACAGATTTCCTTACTAAAAGTTTGGTAGGATAACTGAAATTGCTGATCAAATTGTAGTGAATGATCCAGATTTTGAAAGGAGTGCAAAAGCAAAATGAGACATTTTGGATGAGATCTTCTACTACTGACATTTGCTTAAGGAAACAAAAAAGCGACAAATGAAACATCATGACTTTATTGCAAACGAACAAGAATTTCAGAGAAGTCAGGACCTTTGTCACAAAAAATGAACTTTACATTTCTGTGTGCATATGTTTGTGTTATTTAACATATATTATTATGCAAATTAATATAAAAATAACTTAAAATTACAGTAAAATTTGTTTATTTTTGGTTGTGTGTTCCCCTATCCCTATTTACTCTGTTAAAATTACCTCATTTAACGCTGTTTTGCTTAGCGCTTTGTTGTCTAGGAACGCATCCCCACGTTAAGCAGGGTCTTACTGTATATGGATATTATATGGATTAAAATCCATATAATAAAGCACACTTAATGTTATTTACAACTGTATTTATTACAGCAAATATAAATCTATGATCTCAGTTAATCTCTTTAATAATTTTTAAAATTTGTATTATTGTGAGAAGTCACTACAGTCGACCCCCCTATAACACTGTTGATAATTCCATTTTATATGAATTCCATGTTGTACAAGTCACTTAGATTTTACAAATACGTGTGCCAGGCTGTGAACGGCTCATGTATTTGTAAAATCTAAGTGACTCGTACAACATGGAATTCATATAAAACGGAATAATTGGAAACGGGAGGTCGACTGTAATTTAAAATTTCTGGAGTCCCTTTTGAGTACTACATACTGCCTAGCCAAGATTTATGAAACAAATTATATTGTTACTATGAGGGGAGTCCAATATTAAAGGTACAGGCAAAAATTACAGTAACATTTACATATACAGTAGAGCCTCGATTATACGACCCCCGATTAACCGACATCTCGGTTAACCGACCGTCCTAGTCGGCAAATTTCAAATGTCCGCTAGTGATGTGGCGTTACAATATTTGGCTATGTCTTGGCTACTTTAATATTATTTTTACGTGTTTTAGCTGGCAACACTGAATCAACCATGAAAGGGAGCCAGTATTTAAACGAGGCTTAATTTTATAATTTTTAACGATACAATAGCGACGATTATTATTTTAAAAATTTTTTGTTAGGCTTAACATTGATGAAAATTCAATGCAAAGTAGGTTAATAGCGATATACTAATATACTAATTACATGGAATATGATAATATACTACACTAATAATGGATTTTTTCATACTTTTCGGTTATCTGACTTTTCAATTATCCGACCAACCCCAGTCCCCAATTGAGTCGGATAATCGAGGCTCTACTGTAGTTAAAAAAAAAAATGTTCTATGTAAGCATGGATTCCTATTGCACAAAATAACTGGTATAGAATAAAATAATAATTTATTACTGTTAGTATTTTTTTAGTGCCAGTGTTCTTTTACTGCAAAGACTCATTTTAAAAATTAATTTAATTTCATTACATGTACTATACATAATTTAGCATTGTTTTTACAACTAAGTAGAAAATTTGGTAATAAATGAAAATATTTTTCTTATGAATAGTTTTATTATTAAATATCAGATTTATTCATTTTTGATTCTGTTCTACATAAGTACACAAAATTATAAGTTAGACTTAATGTATATCTTGCAATATCTTAAGTTCACATCCATATTTAAACCAATGAATGGAAATCAAAGTTGGAAATTCATAAAACTAATAAGAGGCTGTCCATAAATGATGTCCACACTGGAAGGAAAGGAGGGTGTTAGGACAAGCTGGACAAGGGGAGGGGAGGACGTCAGTTCATGTCTATTTCATTAAATTTATACAATTTATGCATTTTATTACATTTATTTCAAAATTTCTTGTTTCATTTCTACTTATGGTATACTGTATATCATTCATAAAGTGATAAATGTTCTAAGGGGGTTTAAGTTTTGATGGATGTCTGAAGAAGGGAGTAGTTATGGAAACTTGGGACAAACTGAGACAAGCAAGAGGGTGGAGTAAAAATTTCAAGAAAAATAGAAAAACTTTTACTCCCCTTCCCCATGTATCAATTTGCATTGCTCTTCCTAAAACAAAAGGTTTTTAGTAACCTATCAGATTACACATACATCATTAACAGAATCAACAAACATCTCTCTTGTTGTTTCCTAATAATGGATATGTGGCACAAAAATTTGAGTTTTATAAAAAGTTTTCACTCTGAGAAAAGCAGTTTAATTTTTTGTCTAAAAATTAATAGAATCAAAATAAGTACAAGAAAATCCATAATTCCAAGCTACAACACAAGTTTAAATATTGGTCTATTTAAATATTTAAAGTTATGTGACATTTTGCCTGGCCTTTCCCAACTGATGCAGAGAGATGCTTGTTCAAAGAGGATTTGAAAATCATACCAATTAAATAAAATGAATTTTCTGGAAAAGTTTTGGATGTTCATTTTCAGTCTGAAACATTTCTCTGATCAGTCAATTTCTCTGAGACAGAACAAGATTTAAATTTTTGTAGAGATAAAACTTGAGATGCACCAAAGGTCAGACCAAAGTTCTTGTCAAAACAGAAGTAATGAGTAGTTATGATTAAATTTAATTATTATTTTATTTTTATTCTTAAAATGATTTGCTTAAACATAGATGTAAAATAGTTGTATAAAACTAATTGTAAAATATTAGTTATATCAGTAATGTAAGATATTTTGATAGATTTAAAATCAAAAGTTTGAAAATGGTACACTTGAATAAGATCACAAAGTTAATTGAAAATGTTGGCATTCAAATTTGGAGCAAAGATTTCCTCGAATTGTAAAGTCTTCAAGTTGAAAAGATAGTTCATTACAAAATTTCAATGCATAGAAGTATCACATAAGTGTCCTCTTTAATTCATGATGTCCTTTCCAACACTTCAGGAACAAACAGTCCTTAAGGCAAAGTCGCCCTTTATTTGTAGGCTGCTTTTTCTTCCTGAATATGTAAAAACAGTTGTAAAATATTCCAAAGCTTCAGCACAATCATATAAAATTAATTTACAATTAAAAACATTAATTAAAAAATTATTATTTGTTCCTGAAGTGTTAGAAAGGATGTCATGAATTAAAGAAGACATTTATGTGGTACTTATATGCATTGAGATTTTGTAATGAAGTATTTATGGTCGTGGCAATTTTAATTAATTTTTTTAATATTTTTAATTGAAAAGATAGATAGCAGAGTGAGATTGAAAATGACACTGATCCTCAATATTCATGTATAATTGGGACAGTCCTAATTATTCAGGGTAATCCTTCATGAACATCAAATTCTCAAACTTTGACTTCCATTTTTTATGTTAAATTTGTAATTCATTCCAAGACTACACATTACTGCTGTTTTAAAAAATTTTCAGAAAAATGAATTGTTTTATTAAAATAAATATACTGTACAATGGTTTATACTGCTTCTGATGCCAACAGGAAAAACTTATACTACAGTATGTATAAATAAAATTAACTTCTTAAATTTTTTTTATATTACATTACGCATAATTCTAGCACAATAAATAATTGCTCATTTATAGTTATATTT